GGATGTCACATTCTTTGAGTCCCAGTCTTACTTTTTGTCTTCTCCGATGTCCCAGTCATCCCTTCAGGGGGAGCCTTGGTGTGAAGAGATTCCTGTTGTCACTGTTACTCCTATGGTGGAATCTAACGCTACCAAGGACAGGGAAAGGCAAGTTTATGTCAGGGACAAAGACAGACAGAAAGTTACTTGGATATAAGAGACCACTTCTGCTCACCCACTGCCGTCTCCTACTTCTGATAAGAGTCCAGGTAACTTTGACCCTGTTGTTTCTCTTGAGTCTACTGATATTGCTATTCTTGACACAACTGATCTTGATATTCCTATTGCCAAGAGAAAGGATGTGAGATCTTGCACTCAACATCCTATCTCTAGTTTTGTGTTATACTCTCATTTGTCGTCCTCATATAGAGCCTTTGTGTCCAACATTTCTTCTGAGTATACCTAATCATTTTCAGGATGCTCTCACTACCTCTGAGTGGAAACTTGCTATGATTGAGAAAATGAAAGCACTTCGTAAGAATGACACTTGGGAATTGACTGAGTTACCTAGGGGCAAGCGAACTGTGGGATGCAAATGGGTGTATACCATAAAGCACAAGGCAGATGGTTCAATTGAGCGTTATAAGGCTCAACTTGTAGCAAAAGGTTTTACTTAGACATATGGGGTGGACTATCAAGAGACATTTGCTCCAGTTGCAAAGATGAATTCTATTAGGGTACTCATTTCTCTTGCAGCTAATTTAGATTGGCCACTTCACCAGTTTGATGTGAAGAATGCTTTCCTCCATGGTGACCTAGAAGAAGAGGTGTATATGGACATTCCCCCTGATTTTAAAGATCTTCAGACAAAGGGGAAGGTATGTCGACTTTGAAAGTTACTATATGGTCTCAAACAGTCTCCAAGGGCTTGGTTTGAGAGATTTACTCAAGCGATGGTGAAGTATGGTTTCAAACAAAGTCAGGCTTATCATACTCTGTTTGTTAAACATTCCTCCCATGGTAAGACGACGGCTCTCATTGTGTATGTGGATGACATAGTGCTTACAGGGGATGATGCTGGGGAAATTCCTCTGCTAAAGAAGTATTTGGCAAGTGAGTTTGAGATCAAAGACTTGGAAAATCTGAAGTATTTTTTGGGTATTGAAGTTGCCAGATCCAAGGATGAGATTTTCATGTGTCAGAAAATATGTCCTTGACCTATTGAAAGAAACAGGGATGCTTGGAAGCAAAGCCTGTGACACTCCTCTAGAGCCTAACCAGAAATTGAGTGATGATATTGGAGGAGCAACTGTTGATAGGGGGAGTTATCAACGGTTAGTGGGTAAGCTCATTTACTTATCCCATTCTCGTCTTGATATCGCTATTGCAGTTAGTATAATTAGCCAGTTCATGCATGCTCCTCATGCAATACACTTGGAGGCAGTTATGAGGATTCTGAGATACTTAAAATCTTCTCCTGGAAAGGGCCTTTATTTTTCCAAACACGATCATCTTAGTGTGGAAGCCTATACAGATGCAGATTGGGCAGGATCAGTAACTGATAGGAGGTCCACTTCGGGGTATTGTACCTTTGTTGGAGGGAATCTGGTTACTTGGAGAAGTAAGAAACAGAATGTGGTTGCCCGGTCTAGTGCGGAGGCAGAGTTTAGAGTCATGGCACAAGGTGTGTGTGAGCTCTTGTGGGTCAAGTTGTTGTTGAGTGATCTGGGGATAGATCAAATGGATTTCATGCGACTATATTGTGATAATAAAGCTGCCATCAACATATCTCACAATCCAGTTCAACATGACAGGACAAAGCATGTTGAGATTGATTGTCACTTCATCAAGGAGAAACTCACTAGCGGCACAATATGTACTCCATTTGTGAAGTCTGGTGAACAACTCGCTGATATCCTTACAAAGGGGGTTGGGAACATCCCATTTCATGATATTCTACGCAAGCTGGGGATGAGAGATATCTTCGCACCAGCTTGAGGGGGAGTGTTAGAATATTCTTATATATTTGTAATTATCTGTTCCCGATTTCATGCCTTAGGGCTCTCCTTGTAAGTTAGGTTCATTAATATAAAAGTGAATGAATTGATATTCATTCACCAAGGTTTTGATTTTACCTCAACAAACACGAATACGACAGTAAGAAAATAGATACGGCATGCAGTAAGAAGAAAGATGACATACCTATGATTAGGGCTACAAAAATGGAGATTAGGACTGCAATCGCGTTTCATCTTCTTCAATCTTCATCTCAAGTTGCACTCTTCATCTCAGGTTGCGCTCTTCATCTTCTTCGATCTCCCTCTTACTTGACTTTGCCCTCTCTCTCTCTCTCTCTCTCTCTCTCTCGACTTTGCCCTCTCTCTCTCTCTCGACTTCATTATCTCTACTCTTTCTCAACCCAGCTTTTTAGGAACTGGAGTGAATTGAGGAAGAGAAAAATGGTCTTTATGTCGCTGTGCAAGTATATCTTTGAGGCTAAATGGTTATTAAATTATTCTTGGGTCCCACCACTTTGATTCATTATTGGAGTGATGTTTAGTGGAATGCCAATTCAAATATGGGTTATCAGTGGGTGTGGTGTGGTGAAGAGAAATTATTGGGTGTGGTACTTTTGGTTTGAAGAGAAATTATAATAGAATTGCCATGTTATCAGAAAAATACATAATATTTTTTTGACACATCCATGTTTAGCCATGTCCACGTTCCCATGTCTAATTTTTCGGTACTTTTTAGACATATCCACGTACCCCTCATTTAGAGGTTTGCCGAGTCCGACCTCTAGATACATACCCGCACCAAAGTCCATGTAACGTAGCTAACCAGCACCTTGAAAAGGGACAAAAAATAAATGGAGATATCATTTTCAATGGATTGGATCAACGTGTACCTCCCTCCCTTTGAAAGCAAAGCTCTTTTCCAATCCTCTAACCTCTTTGACCACCTCAATCTTGAAAAACAGCCATAGAAAAACCATCTGATCCTAGAGCTTTATCTCTTTCGCATTCGAAACTACTTCTTTAATTTCCGCCTCCTCAAAAGGCCCTTTCCATCCACCTAGCCAATGCCTCATCAATTGGCACCTACTCAAGACCCTCAATCCCAGGTCTGACTACCCCTCCATCCAAATAAAGGTTTTGGTAAAACCTAAAATCTCATCTATGATTTGATCCTCTTTTTCAACCACCAACCCTTGCCCCATTTCTAACTTCTTAATGTACCTTTTCCTTTTTCCGCAACCCTATGAAATTTTTTCCTTTTGAACCCAAAAAATTTGCTCCCTAAAAATGATCTCCTCCATTCTAAATTTTAGCTCATTCCTCTCTCTCCTCAAAAAATTATCCAAACCTGCAAACACCTCAAGAGCATCTATCTCTTCAATTCTCTCATAGATCTCCCCTTTTTGCCTATTCAAATTGCCAAGGGTTTCCCTTTTCCACTTCTTTACTTTCTCCTTAATTAATTTCAACTTCCTCATGAATCTAAAACCCTCCCAACCTAAACAAACGCACTCATTCCACCAAAGAACAAAATTATCTCTAAACAAAGGATGCTCCAACCACATATTCTCAATTCTAAATGGAGTGGGTCCCCACTTAAACGGGCAACTCTCGACTACAATTGGACAATATTTGTTCAACATGAATGTCACTTTCTTAGAAGTATTTGTTCTTCTTAGATCCCAAGAAAAGTCTAAATAGATCGCCTCCTACTCTTGAAGAGCCCTTTGGAAAATAAGCGTCCATTCGATACTCATAGAAGATGGAGCCCAATACTCAGCTATTGAACCATCCTAATTATTCACAATCCTAAAAGGATTGATTGGGAAAGACCTCCCTTAAAGAACTCTAACCACACTAGGAATCATGATAAAAATGAATTTTACGGCCATCAGCCACCCTAAAACATATAAGAGGAAAGAAGACATTTCTAACCCTCATTATGCATTTTTACACAACACCATGTGAACCCCTATTATCACCTGTAGAACAAACCCCCCAATCATGCCAATACTTACCATCAATCATCACTCTTCCCAAGCAAGCCCTCTTTTTGTATTTATTCATTGTTTGAACGCAATGAAGTCCCATTCAAAAGCATTGGCACATTTTGCTTTGGGTTGCAATCTAGAACAATTTTTTTTTTACATTTTATTTTCCCTATAGTACAAAAACTTGAGAGCGCTTCATATAATTCATTTTCATTCTTCTTTCACATTCTTGAGAGAGGGTTGCTATAGATTTAGTTCTGCAAGTACATTGATCAAACTTACTGGAGCTTGGATTGACGCAATTAGTGAAAATCAAAATAGTACAAAAAGGAGATTGGCAAAGACCACAACAAGATTGGTGCAACAAGATTTTCTTATGCAAGTTAAGTAGGATATTGGTCTCAATTTTAGTGAGTTTTGTACTTAATCTTGGTTACTAGTGGGTTTGGTTACGTCCATAGTTTTTTCCTGAATTTGGGTTGCCATGTTGTATCATTGTCTCTCTTTGTGGTTGATTTCTTTACCTTTCTCATATTTATTTTTGCTTAAATACCTTAGAATTAATCTACTTCAATTAGCTTGGATTAAAAATTCCTATCAGTTACTCTCAAATTCAAAAACAACGAAGGCTATTTTGTGCACTTTGACTTGAAATTTATTTTCAAGGCCTTGACATCAATTACAGTAGTAAACATTCTCATTGAATCTTTCTTGCTTAATTGAGCATCCCAATGATCTTTGTGTTTGCTAACGAGGTATAATAGGTGAAGAGTTCCCAACACAACAAGGCATTAGTGCTTTATGGTTCAAAGGAGAAAAATACTGCTCGACATTCTCTTCAAGAGAATCAAAACATCAATTTCCACTTCTACTATAGCAACAAAAAAGTACATTTTTGACACTAATACAAGAGGAAGAAACAGCATATGAAGACTAGAAAGTGCTGCAAAAACCACAAAAGAAAAGTCCAACATAGATCTGGAAGCACATCTCCATCCACAATACAAGAACATGGTACAAAAGCAGTTCAAACTACTTTAAAATCACATAAATAACCAAGATTAAGGTAAACATGGCATATAATAGTATGGCTGCAAGGCCATAGTTCCCAAGGTTTCACCTCACCTTGGCAATGTATAACATACTAACAGCTCTTCTAATACATTACTAGTACATAACAATGCCAAATGTGATAGTGGTCTCTAAATGTAGATCTTAGACCACAAAGCACTTGAAATAACACTCCTTATAAATGGTACACTATAAATATTAGCTTCCATCATGAACTATAAGAAGAAATTAAAGTAATGATGTAAAAAAACAAGGATTTGATAGCTCATTAGAAAACACAATGGGTGATATCACCTGCATTATTGCTTGACATTCTCCAAGTACCATTTATAGGTATCAACAAGCCCATCCCGGAGTGATATCTTTGGGACCCAACCCAATCCTGACAGCTTTGAGCTATCCATGAGCTTCCTTGGAGTACCATCTGGCTTCGAAGTGTCCCAAACAAGCTCACCCTCAAACCCAACAACCTCCTTCACCAACTCAGCAAGCTCCTTAATTGTCACCTCTTTCCCACTCCCCACATTCACATGCCCCAACCCACTATACTTCTCCATCAAAAACACCACCGCATCTGCCAAATCATCGACATGCAAGAACTCGCGCAATGGCGACCCTGTTCCCCACACCACCACCTCTATGGCACCCGAAACCTTGGCCTCGTGAAACCGCCTCATCAATGCGGGCAACACGTGCGAATTCTCAGGGTGAAAATTATCATTTGGGCCATATAAATTTGTGGGCATTGCTGAAATAGCATCCCAATTGTACTGAATTCGATAGGCCTGGCACATTTTGATGCCGGCGATCTTTGCCACCGCGTACCATTCATTGGTGGGCTCTAATGGACCGGTTAACAATGCGTCTTCAGGGATTGGTTGTGGGGCGAATTTAGGATAAATGCAAGAAGATCCTAAGAAAACGAGTTTCTTTACACCATGGCGATAGGCTGAGTCGATTACATTGGTTTGGATTTGGAGATTGATTGCGATGAAATCGGCGGGGTAGGTGTTGTTGGCATGAATGCCGCCGACTTTGGCGGCAGCGAGGATTACGAATTGGGGGTTTTCGGCGGCGAAGAAGGCTTCGACAGCGGATTGGCGAGTGAGATCGAGATCGGAGTGAGATCGGAGGAGTAGATTGGTGAAGCCGAGCTGGCGGAGCTTGTTGACGATTGCGGAGCCGACGAGGCCACGGTGGCCGGCGACGAAGATCTTCGCGGATTTGTCGAATGTGAAGGAATCTGCAAAGATAGACAGAGATGAGAGAGATTGGCATTAGGGTTTTGCAGAAATCGAAATTATATGTATGGATATACGTATATATAGAGAGATAAAGAGAGAACTGTGCAGATCTAAGAGATTAAGGTAGAGAGAGAGAGAGAGAGAGAGAGAGAGAGAGAGAGTACCAGTGGAACCGTTGGGGCCTCCCATGTTTGATCGCAGAGAGAGAAAGAGCCAACTGCAGCTTTCAGCACTGAAGCTTTCCTTTTTAACTGTCAAAACCATCCGTTACTGTGCGTTTATTTGGACCGACTGAATGAAGAAATTCACCGGACGGTTAATTTTGATATATTATCTTCGAATTAAGGGTTCTTTGTAGTGTTCTAAATAAGTATAATTTTTATTTTTTTAGATTAAAAAGTTAAAAAAAAAATATGAATGTTTGGATTAATTTTTTGACTTTTTATGAAAAAATAATGTATTAAAAAATTATATAAGAAAGTGTGTGTGCGAGAAGTTTGGAAGAGCATTGGATGGTGCTGTTCGGATCGTGGGGGCCATCACGGGTCCCGTTTTGATAATCTGAATCGTTAATGTGTAGAACTCGTCGAGTACTACATGCTTGTAAAAAATCACGTTGATCGGATATCGATAGCTATCTGATCGGATTAGTTTTTTTTTCAATCGTCAACTATAACACCATCTATTTTTTTTTATACAAAACTGATTTGATCATGTAGTTGCGATATCCGATCAACGTGATTTTTTTATAGATATATAGTATTCAACGAGTTTACACATTGCACGATTCAGATTATCAAAATGAGACCATGATGAGCCCCCATGAGCCGAACAGGACCTTGTTGTTTGTGAACCGATCATGTGCAATTTTTCCATGAAGTTCATTTCAAAAGTCTATGGACAGGAGAATGTGTTGCAATAATTTTTGTATAATTTTTTTTAAAGTGAATAGTAGTAACTTTTTAACTTTTTTAGTAATTTTTTGACTTTTTAAATTATTTGTAACCTGCCAAATCAGGCCTTAGTTGAAACTGAATTTGTATTTTATTTTTATTTAGTTATAAGATTAGATGTCAGAAAAAGATTATTTGATTAGATCGAATATAAATCTTATGTTTGTTTAAAATATTACGGAGAAGAATAAATTTTCAAATAACTATTTTACTCTTTTCAATTATTTACTAAGTAATAGTAATAGTAAACATATATTTAATATTTTAATTATTTTTAACTAGATTATTTAAAAAAGTAAATAAATAAAACATCAATAAAAATTAAATAAAATTATTTTATTTTTAAATTGAGACATTTAAATTTTATTGAATTTTACTAAATATAAAACATAATTAATTAGTAGAGAGTTAAAATGGTCATCTCATCACCTAATCTCATATCTCCTTATTTGTGTCCCACTCACCCCATGAGAGACAATAGTCCAATGGATTTGAGACTAATAGTCCGAAGCAAAAATTTTAAACCAAACAACGGATTATTAGTCCAAATGGCCTAATAGTCCAATCTCACCCCTCAATCCCTCAAAACAAACACCTCCAAAAGGGTTTACATGGTTGGTTTGAGATCCGGATTGGGTTTTTTTTTTTTTTTCTTATTATTTTAGTTTAAGATTAAAAAGTTTTGTTTATGATAAGTTTTTCTGATTTTTTTAACTTTTGTGAAAGAAAAAATGAAATAATTATAATTTAGATGTAATATTTTATTTTATTGACTTTTTAGTCTGTTAGACTTATTTATTTTGATGATTTATTTAATTATGTTTTAATTTATTTGAAAGAGAAAAATAGAATCTAAACTTTATTTTGATGATTTACTTAATTATATTTTAATTTATTTGAAAAAGAAAGATAGAATCCAAAATTTATTTTGTCCCATTATTTCTCACCTAAACTTTTATCCTAAATATTGTTTGAATGTATTTAATATTTGTTTAAATCAGGAGTTCATTTCAACCCAAATATAATACCCAAACCAGAGGTTCAAACAACCTAGCCCAGCAGCAGGCCAAAAGATTCAAACAGCCCAAAACAAAGGTTCAAACAACGTAACACAGCAGCAGACCAAAGTGTTCAAACAGCCCAACACAGTAGCAGACCAAAAGGTTCAAATAGCCCAGCACAGCAACAGGCCAAAAGGTTCAAGTGGAAGATATTCAAATTAGTAATGATAGAGTGAAAAATATTCAAATTAGTAATGATTAGTACAACGGTTATAAATGGCTATAAATTCAAACGAATACAACGGCTATAAACGGCTATAAATTCAAATGAATATAACGGCTATAAACGACTATAAGTTTCATTATATATATCAAAGCCTCTAATGTGAATAAGTGACAGCAACTACAAACAAGTTACAGAAACCAAAAAATATTCTTTGATCTAAAACCACTCTCATCTATTCTCTGAAAAACTTTCTGAGAAATGTTCTTCAATTTTTGTTTACATTCTCTCTCAGAAATTATGCATTAAGTCGTATAGTTTTAAGCCCATCTTTCCTATATGAGGATTATAAAAAAATTAGAGTCTCATTTTTATATCTATCTTTGAGAGATAATTCTTGTAACTTTCTGTGAAAGTAAAAACACATTCTTTTCAATGTTGTAAGAGTGTAGTACTCTCAGTGTTTTTTGGACTAGAAAGTCTGTGTAAAATCTGTGGAGGATTGATTCATCTGTGAAAATGTTGTTAGCACCCTGTGAAGCTAGAGAATAGTGGAAAATGTCAAATGAAACTTGAGGAGTGGACGTAGGCCGAGTTGAAACCGAACCACCATAAATTTATTTGCCTCTCTCTCCCTTATCTCTTTATTTTATTTAAATTCCCATAGTTATATTTCATATATTTTATTGTGTTAAAATCATTAATTGACATAGTTGTTAGACCACTTGTTTTAATTATTTTTATTTCATTAACTATATTTATCTATTGTGCTAGTTATAATTTTTATTAGGGTATTATTATTTTTATTTATAAAAACCTAATCTACCCTCCTCTTAGGTTGTCTTTTGGGTAACAATTGATATCAGAGTCTAGACTCTTGTTTTAGATTTAACCATCTGGGAGTTTCGATCCATGACAACCTTAACTGAAGGACAAGCCACAAGTAGGCCACCATTGTTTGACGGAAACAGCTATAGTCATTGGAAGGATAAGATGACCCTATATGTACAAGTCACTGATTATTCTATGTGGATTATTGTCACCAAAGATCCAAAAATTCCTACCAAATTAGTAGACAATATTAGTGTACCTAAAACTGAAGATGAATGTGATGAGAGGGATCATAAATTATTACAAGCTAATGCTAAAGTCAAACTCACTATTGTTTGTGGATTAGACTCTAAGGAGTATAATAGAATTTTAAGTTGTGATTCAACCAAAGAAATTTGGGACAACCTTGAAGTAACGTATGAAGGTACAAACCAAGTGAAAGAATCTTGTATTGATATGCTTGTTCATAGTTATGAATTGTTTAAAATGAACTCTGATAAATCTATGTCGAGTATGTTTATTAGATTTACTAAAATTGTAAACTCTTTGAAATCTCTTGACAAAACTTAAGTGAGTTGGTGAGAAAAATTCTTAGGTGTTTACCAAAGAATTGAGAAGCAAAGATCACGGCCATTATAGAAGCCAAAAATCTCTCTACACTTGGATTGGATGAGCTTATGGATTCCCTTATGACTCATGAGATCACCATGCAAGGACATGAGGATGTTGAAAACAAAAAGGCCATGGTAGCAGCTTGGGAAGAAAGTGAAGATGAAAGCTCAAGTGATGAAATTGAAAATGAAGTAGCCAACTTATGTCTCATGGCTCTTGAAGATGAAAACTCTACTCAAGATGAGGTAACTACTCTTTATGAAGAACTTGAAAGTGAATTCCATGAACTACAAGATGAATTTAGAAACGTTTGTGCCAAAAATTATGTGTTGAAGAAATCTGTTGCATCTTTATCTATTAATGCAAAAGAATTAAAGAAAGAAAAAATTGTTTTGAAAAATGATTTTGATACTATCTCTAATGAAAAAACTACTTTAAAAAACAATATTGATGATTTAACAAAAATACTTGAAAAATTTGTAAAAGGTAGAAATAATCTCAACATGCTTCTTGGAAATCAAAAATGTGTTTTTCGATAAAGCGGGCATTGGATATGACCCTATTAAAAAATAAAAGAATCGTAATACAATTTTTGAAAAGGCACCTCTCATGACTCACCCTCATATTACCTGTTATTATTGTAGAAAGAAAGACCATTATATATCTTCATGTCCATTCAAAAATAATATAAGCATGGGACTTAAAAAGATTTGGATTGTTAAGGGATCTAACAAAACTAACCAAGAAAGACCCAAGAAACTATGGGTACCAAAAACCAACACTTGATTGTCATCTTGTAGATTTGTTTTAAGTCCAAAGCTAAAGAAGGGAAGTGATACCTTGATAGTGGATGTTCCAGACACATGACCGGAGATAAATCATTCTTTACTAAATTATCATTGAAAGATGGAAAATTTGTTACTTTTGGAGACAACAAGAAAGGAAAAATTATCGGTATTGGTAGCATCGGTATTTCTCCTAACCCTTCTATTGAAAATATTTTACTTGTTGATGGACTTAAGCATAACCTACTTAGTATTAGTTAATTAGGTAATAAAGGTAATCGAGTTATTTTTGATAAATCACATTGCACAATTGAAAGCACAAATGATCATAAAACTTTATTCGTTGGTAATCGCCATGATAATATTTATGTTTTTCATCTTAATGATCTCTATGCTAATGATGTTAAATGTTTATATGTTAATAATGAAAATAGTTGGTTATGGCATAGAAGACTTGGTCATGCTCATATGGATTTAATTGCTAAACTTTTGAGAAATGATTTAGTCATTGGACTTCCAAAAATTAAATTTGAAAAAGATTATCTTTGTAGTGTTTGTCAACAAGGAAAACAAACTAAAACATCATTTAAATCAAAATCTCATATTTCCACAACTAGACCTTTACAACTATTGCATATGGATTTATTTGGTCCCTCAAGGACATCTAGTTTAGGTGGTAAACATTATTGTCTTGTTATTGTTGATGATTATTCAAGATTTACATGGATTATGTTTTTAGCAGACAAAGATGAAACATTTTCTTCTTTCACAAAACTCTGTCATACAATTCAAAATGAAAAAGGCTTTCTTATTACTAATATTATAACCGACTATGGTAGAGAACTTGAAAATGAGAAATTTGAATTGTTTTGTGATGAGCATGGTATTAGACATAA